TTATTTTTGACTTAGTCTTTTAACACAGATCCAGGTTGGACTATGTTGCAATAATGTTTCTGTGGGCGCTGGGGCATTGCTTGATTTTGATATCACTTAGGTGCTTTGTAAGTACCAAGTCTCCTATTTGGGTTTTTTTTTTTCAGATTGATATGCCTGGCCCAGAATTTTGGTGTTTCAGACTGTCCCAGAAATATCTATATTAAGAGATCTACTCAGGGGGTTGTTAGGTAGAGATGACTTGATAGACTTCAAGTTTGTCTATGCTAATCGAGATTTGCTGTTGTAGATGGAGATTGTCTAGGAAGGCTCGAACTTGGCTCGTTTCGTTTATGACTACTAGGAGCGAAGTAAAGTAGGTAAAGTAAGGTAGAATCGTAAAAACAATATTATAATATTAAGGTCTCTTCTGCGTTGCTTGATAATGTCTAAAGCTTGGAAGGCACTTCGATATTTATATTCCGCATCTGAGTGTTCGCAGACTACATCTGTTTATCATACAACTATGTACTTCTTTAATCGTAATTCACAATATCGAGTTTTCTTCCAAGGTGCAAACACCAGTGGACCCTGAAAACCATCACACCTTCTTCAGTAATTACAATATTTCTTCTTAGAAAATGTACTATCTCCAATAGTAATATCCCGATTGGCAGAGTCTTTAGACTTATGGCCTAGTTCTTAAGTCAAACTGAGTTGGCTCCAATTGTCTTCGCCATTGATAAAATGATCAGTTTTATCCACGGCTATATCTGCAAAGGTGGTCGTCATTACAACAATCGTAGGTCGTCTGACTCCGATTCTTTGTAACTCCATACCCAACCGATAGATTTTCTCTATATGACTTCCTATCAACTCGTAGGAAGCTATTCCACCAGATTGGTAATTAATCTCTAGGTCGGCAACCCTTGGTTGCTTTCTGGGTAATAGGTTTCAGTAACCATTGTAGTATTGAGGATTACTGTAATGATCCCTCCTCAGATGGTTAGTTCTTGGCGATGGGGAACGATACTTCTCTTCTCTTCCTTCTTTTTCCTTCGTCTTACGATAGCGCTAGGCCTCTGACTACGTTACCGATAGTACAAGACCTTTGTCTTCTATCGGAAACGCCTATTGTAAGATTTCTCTAACTCTTCTTCGTGAAGAGCCCTCAATAGCATAACAATTACATTACAATAAAGATAAAGATTGTAAAGTTGTTTTATATTTGTTAATGAAATAAGTAGAAAAAGTACTTAGAACAAAGCGTGAAGAACCTATCTTCCTCGGCTGCATCAGCCTCCTTATATAGTATTCTTCCCACCCGTAGTCATGTGACCTAAAGTGGTCACATGTGCGAAACCAAATCATAATAAACTAGTCATGTGACCAAAGTGATCACATGCTCAAAACCCATGACCTCATAGCAAGGTCATGTACAAAAACTCATAAACCAATCATAACACAATAAACAAATCATATGACTCGACTGAGTCATGTGCACGAAACCCATGATCTCATAATGAGGTCTTGTGCAAAACATAAATCATATGCGCAAGGCTTACCCACAGGGCATCCTCGCAAGGCATACTCGCCAGGCGCACGTCCCATGACTCATATTTGAGCCATGTGCGAAAGCATCACAAATCCCACACATAACAAATCATATGACCCGAATGAGTCATATGTATGAAACAATAGCATACCTGTGACTCATAACCACGTGTCACGTGAAAATGTCTTTTATGCCAAGCCACGTTCGTGACAATCACCCCATGATTACGACGTATTCCAAAACCCAGTTGCAACACTCTATGAAGTTCTTTGGCTTTTTTGGTAGTGTCTTTTAGAGTTCTAGACTCTTCTGGTGGATGTAAATGTATTAGGCTCTAGTAGAGATCCTTTACCATTTGATACCATCTCTTTGTGCGAAATCGTCCCATTACCTACGGCCCGTGCCACAGGTATCATGTCTTTGGAGCCCAGTAACTCTCTGAGTAGTTGACGGAATCACTCCGTTACATTTCCCAGACCTAGTCGAAGTTCCCTTCTCATATATCCTGTGAACAGGATCCGGTCAGACCGACGGCGGCGACGTATATGGTATTATTCTAACACCTTCAATTCTGTGGTAATATAGTCACAGGACGCAACTGAGATTGATATATATAATGACGCGCGAGCCCTGTAAGGGAGCCAGAGGGGGGTGTTGGAGACCAGAGATTCCGATTCCGAGTGGGGTTACCCTACTTAGGGCGGTTCCTAGGTATTGGGTTCTGGTATTCCTAACAGGGGTGCAGTTAGTTGGATGACACACAAAAGTAGTAACTGCACTTTGGTGTAGCAAGCAGGGATATGTGTAAGAGCTAGAACAGAAATAGACTGTTAGCCACCTCTACGGGGTATGTTTTTGTATGCAGGAAAAAAGTTCGGCGACGCCAAAAGTTGAGTATCTTAATACAATGAAATAAAGAACGTATATATATATAAAAAAAAAATAAGACAAAAGGAAATTCTAGCTAATATAGTGTTGCACCTCCTTTGACTGCAATGACAGCATGTAGGCAATTAGGCATACTTGATATTAGTCCTTCCAATCGCTCCTCTCCAATCTGTACCCAAATCGTCCTTAAACAAGCTTGTAAATTCGTAACATTTCCTATCCAGCCCTAAGTTTCACCCATTTCAGTCTCCAGGTCAAGTCATAAGGCTTCTATTAGATTTAGGTCTGGTGACTGTACTGGCCAGGACATCATATCTACCCCATTTAACTCTCTATAAGTCCTAGCGTGCTTCTTGTATCCTGGTGCCCCATCCTCTATAACCCGTGCCCATCCATACTCTTAACAACACTGATGCTAAAAAGGTATCAGATAAGGCTCCATAACCACCTCTACATAAACTGCAGAGTCCATCTTTGCTTTGCCGGGAATAAACACTAGCTCTGACTTGACTGTTCTACAAAATCCTCCACAAGCCATCATAGACTCCCTTCCCTGTTTGAAGCTTTCATCTATACAGTCAGGATGAAACTCTTCCTGCAGGAGCCAAATTACCTATGGCTGATATCCAAATCCAGCCGTTGAAAGTGTGGATTCATCGGTCCACAAAACTCTCCACCATTCCTCACGGGTCCAATGAAGCCTTTTACAACACCATGCTATGCGTTTTGGCTTGTTCGCAGGACGGATATTGAACTTTTGTTGTGGTATACGCTTGTGATATCCAAGCTTCTCTACCACGTTCTTGATCATTCTTGGTGAGCAGGCATAACCCATCTCAATTCCAATTTCCTCCCAACTAAGGTAGCGTGTACGAGCATCTTGGGTAATAAACACTACAAGTTGTGCAATCTCAGCTCCAACAAAGATTGGTGGACAGCCTGTTCAAAGAGCATTAGAGGGTGTGCCGTTCACTTTTGTCCACATATATATCTATATGTTATTAGCAATTTCCCAGTCTACTTCTGTGAATGACTTAACTTACCTTTTGGCAGGTACGAAAATCAATTTTCAGCTCTTCTCCTATTCGTCTCCAACTCCATCCTGCATTTTCACGTAAGGTAATAACTTTAAGGCGATCATCACAGGTTGTCTCCTCATGTCTTTTGCCTTGTGGGTTATGGGTACGGCTTCCTTTAACCTTTATGTTATTTCGAACGCGTGAGGAAATGGGTAACTTGGGGTGGCGATGCCGTGTTGTTTACTAGTATGTCATATTTCCCCTATAAAACCTCTGCTTAGTAAACATTGTCTCAAAAGCTCTGAACTTCTCAGACATTTGTACTATGTCGCCCTACTTACCCTAGTACCCTAGTACATGACTTTTGCTACCAGCAAAATCATCTCATAAGCTATCACTCAATTTTCCCAATCTGGTTTAGCCCATATACAGATGTAGTGGTGGTGAGCGCGACTTTTGCCTACCCCCTAGTACTTGTACGGTAAGTTACTGCAGCTGCCTGCTTATCCCGCATGTAACCCTTAGGACAGCGGAACAAAGAATGCTCACGGGCAGGCCTCCTCCAAAGACCAATTGCTGCGAGCAGCGAACGCCGTGGTATAAGCCGGGGCTGATCGGACTGCCGGAACTGTGAGAAGCCACAAGTGATCGTTCATCCGTGAGTTTCAACCTTCCGCCTTTTTTCGGGAGGCGGGGAGATATCTCACAACCCCTTGTCGGTGCGAATACGGTAGGGGACCCCGGTACCCGTGTGCACCTGCCGATGCGATAACCCGCGAAGGTCCATAAAGAGTAAAAAGGTATTTAGGTTTAGCACACTGTCAGGGGAACTCGATAGCCTGCACAGCAATCTTCCCATGAATTTTTTCGAGAGATGGACCAGAGGGTGAATGATATTGTTGTACCTTGGTGTCATTTTCTCAATAGCACTACTAGACCGATACTTATATCGTCGTAGGGCACTTCAGTCCCTCACCAGCTGGGTTACTACGAGCTTACGTGGTCATTGATGAATGAGTGGAGCTTTCAAATCAGTATGATATTTCAACGGGCGCACCAATTCAAGATTGCGGCTCCCATATCATTTAAATACAACCCAACGCGTACAAGTCAAAGGTGTCTTTTTGAACAATCTCTTCATCCTAGCTGGCCCTCAGGGGGAAGTATTGGGGAGATAGTGCTTGTAACATAATGGGGAACCCAGCTATCGGCACAGTAAGCATACGGCTGGTCTGCAGCATAAAATCTCGGCAGACAATTGATTGAGCGGTAAGAAAGATCGATACCACGTTTAAGCTCTTGCGTTTTTAACAGCCATAACATCCCATAAAAATACATAACTCTTGTACAAGTAGAGCACACCCTATTGTAGTCATATTCTTCATGGAAAACCTTAACCATGCTCTGTCACACCCCCAACCTGAAAGACCGAAAAGAAGAAAGAGTATGGTACTCGAGTCTTATTATATGATACATAGGGCTAGCTCAACTAGCCCGAAGCCGCTAATGCTACCAAAGAAAGAAGAAAGGAAAGGAGGAAGGAAGTTATACATCCCCGTTCAAACCTTAACAACCTCCGTCCTTCCAGTAACGCCCTTCCCTCTCGAACTATCCCCCACAAAAATCTCATAAGCCCCGATATTCCCCTCCTTGTCAAGTGGGATCCTCCAATTCCCCCTCTGCTCATCCCAATAACTTAGATCTCGCCTCATGATATCAAACCCGACAACCACCGTCTCGCCTGGTCCCGCACCAACTTTCTCAAACCCTCTTAAAGAGCGCACGGGAAAGTCTATGCCTGTGCCATTGGGGTAACTAATGTATAATTGCGGGACAGCATTGCCGGGAATGCTACCGGTGTTCTTAACAGATACAGTAACGTGGAAGATCGTGTCGAAGAGCGCTGGATGGCCGCCCTGTGCGCCCCCAGCAGGCGAAGGTTCATGCGGAGTTGTGGAGTATCCGGATGGGTATGGGTATGGTTTTGATGATTTCACGATGCTTGTGTCATCGAGGTATGGGTAGATGTGCTTCCGCAAGCGTCTCATGCCCGGTGGGAAACCGAGTTCTGAGGAGGGAGGGAGGGTGGAGTTTAGTTCTGGTGCGGGGACGCCAACCGGCCGGGCTGGCGGGAATTCGGTTGGCACCTTGGTTTGAGTGATTACCATGTTAGAGAATTCAAAGGTAGTGTAGGAAAGTCCGAAGCCGAATTCGAAACGTGGGGTTATCCCGTTCCTGTCGAAGTGGCGGTAGTCGATGTAAAGGCCTTCGGAGAAGTCTTGCTGTGGGACAGGCCCGCCAGGTTGCATCATGATAGGTGCTACGGGGCCGTAATCTGCTAGCGATTTTCCTATTGTGTAAGGAAGTCTGCCGCTGGGATTGATGCTCCCATAGAGCACATCGAGTAACGCTGTGCCACTCTCTTGGCCAGGAAGGTGTGCCAATAAAACAGCGGTGACGTTCTTATGCTCAATCCAGGCCTTATTTCACATTAGTGGATGCCCAAAAAGCCGATCATTTGGGGTCTTACCTCCATATCGACGGGGCCTACGGAGTGAATGATGACAATGGTGTTGCTACACCTTTCGGCAACAGAGAGGATCAGTTTGTCACCTCCATGCCACAGTTTCAAATCAACCCTATCTCCTAATACGCCTTCGGCAGATGTGTACCCCTCACCGGAATCGCTACTCACAAAGACTAGGCAAGTGGCGTTCGGTGTCTTTTTAGCTGTGGAATTAATTCTATCATAGTGATAATCGTCCAGAACATACTCAACCATTGTTCTGTCGGTGGATGCTTTTGCTTGGATGGCTTCGAGGGGCGTGACCAAGTATGCGTATTCAGCAGTTCCAGAGCCCCAGCCCTGCCCTAAAGTGCCGTTATTGCAACTTCTATCGGGGCAGCCATTGGGGCCCAGGAGATTTGGGCCAGCGTCGCTTCCAAATATCATGATGGATTTCTTTGCTTCCTTGCCGGATTTAAATGGTAGAGCCCCCTTGATGTTCTTTAGGAGTGTGATGCTTTCGGCAGCGATCGCCCTCGCAACCTCGTGATGATCATCTCTAACGTCCACGTAAAAATTCTGCAAGCTGTTTCCTGCAGAAGAACCCACGCCGACATAAGTTGGGCCAGTGGAGGTCCTGAACCAACTGGAAAAGTTGGGGCGGGGGTAAGACGCATCGTCTTGGCCGAGTTGGTACCAGCTGTATATTTAAAGCACGATATAAGCCCCAGGACCCTACATGATACCAAGGGGATACTCACGTTGCCACGATTCGTAGAACCATATCATCCAACCTATCGATGGGCACACTGCCATTTAATACAGCCCGAGTGAGCTGCGGACCCAAAAGAGAGTCTCCATCAGCCCACAGGAGCCCGTCCCCAGGCATAGTCATGTCCCTGCCTTGAAATTAGCGTCCGACCTCCACGGCACCCCTTAGTGTGTCTCTTACATTCCGGAAAGAACGCTGGCAACACCGCTTCTCTGGGCAAGCCCTGAAACCTATTAGAAAGGATCCGGATACGTCTCAAGGAGGCACATGCAATCACTCATCACAAACCCCTGGAATCCCAACTCGTCCTTAAGTACCCCATTCAAGATGTAGCTGTTTTGACAAGCATTTGAATTGTTAATCTAGCGCAAAAGGTCAATATGTTTCTCAATTCTCGGGAAGTAGTTGTATGCTGCGCCCACTTGATTGTAACCGCACATAATACTTCCCACTCCCATACGAACGGTATCCATGAACGGCCAAATGTATAATTCCCTTAATGCTCTATCACCAATATTTGAACTAAGGGGGGCAGTGACGTTTTTGAAACCTTGACTCAAAATCTCAGAGAGTTGACGAAATCTACAATCCTCGTATTAGTTGATGCAGTTCACATTCAATCGGAAGCCCATTCGAGTGACATGTTGTGAAGTATCAGTGAGGGATCCTCACTTTTCTTGCTCATTGGCAACAAAGTGCTTTGCAGTTGCAATAGCCCCTCCATCTTGTATTCCCTGAACACTCAAACCTCCTGCGATTCCTTGTAGATACGGGTCACTCCCAAAGCCCTCCCAATTCCTCCCACCCAGGGGAGACCGGCCGATAGGGCCAATGCAGGGGCCGAGTAACACATTAACACCCTTCTCTCTAGCTTCGTTACCCAGCACTCTTGCGCGATCATACATAAGCTTCCTTGACCATGTCGCAGCAGTCGTAATCCCAGCCGGGAATACAGTGATAGAATCTGCAAATCTGACACCAAGCGGTCCATCCTGAAGACACAAAGAAGGGAATTCAACTTTTGTGGTCCCAGTATTCCCTACGCAGGGGCCCATTGACCATCCAATCCCTGTGGTGACATTAACTTTCTCAGCCAAACTCATCTTCCGTACTAGACTCGCAGCTTTTCGGTAGCTTTCCGCCCATTGATCCACAGTCCCTCCCTTCGCTAAAGACAAAATAATACAAGTAAGCAATGAAACCTTTTAACCGGAATTGAATACTAGTAACGGAGGAGCAAGAAACATACGACTAGGATACCATGATGGGCTGGTCCTCCCCTCCGAGGATTTCACAGATCCCCCACCCCCATCACTCCCTTGAGGTAGGCCTAACACTAATCCGAGAATAAGGGCAAGAACCCCTATCGCTACGATCATTGTTATAAGGGGATATCTCTTCCGAGACGTAAACTTTGCCCAGAATTCAGCGAGGCCAGGCGTGGGTGTCTTTAAGAAAGGCTCGGGGGGAAATTCTGCGTCGGTCGGAGAATCCGTGGCCGCTAAGGCGTACGAGGAGGTAGCCAGCGCGTGGCTCTTACTCAAACAGCAACTGGGAAGGAAAAATGGTATTAGTGGGTGGTCGGTACACCTCTCTATTTAATTTAGTCGTATTCGTGAACAACGTATAAGATCATTAGACAACAAAGAAAGGGAGAAGAAACAAAGCTGAAGCGCGTAGAACGCTGCAGGTCAGGAGGGGTATGGACGGAGGGATGGAGGAGCTATCGTAAAATCTGTCAACAAGTAATCACAAGGAAGTACCAAGTGTTGCTGTGTTGTTGGCAGCCCCCTATGTGGTTGACCCGACAACGAGAGCCGCAATCGGGAAAGGGACCCACTGATGCTGTGTTAGTAGGGTACCCTAGGAGTACTCGAGTACTAGCTTTTGTGATCTATCGCCAGAGAGAGTTCTCGGTAAAGTCACCACCTCACGAACAGTGCGTTACCAGAGACTTCATTCGATGACTTGTGCAGGGAGCATTCTGACACCGTCTGGATGCCTGTATTTTGCTAGTGGAACACGGAGAGGCATAAATTTACCGGCATGATACAAGGACAGTAATCGAGTTGAGATAAATTAAAATACCGGTCTTAAGACCCCACCCGACTATCACCACACGGCTATCTGACGTGTCATATTTCCTGGGTCCAAAATGGCCTTGGCTTGCATCCCCAGGGTGCGGGTAGATAAGATTGATAAAGATCCATTATCAGATCCCAACCTTGTCAAGAACTTTCCTTCTGTCACCCCGAAATCAGGCTCTCTTGCAGTGAAATGCGGCGAATCCACCGGTTCCTACACCAGATCTTATCTGTTTCTTATAGGAAGGTAAGAAGAAAGCCCTCGATACCTGCTCCTTCCAAATACTTGTTTCGTTGTTTCTTCTCCTTGCACACAAGCCAAACTCAGATATAGAATTTTATAGACCGGAGCTCTCTTTCCCAGTACTCGACAGGCCGTACCACTACCCTTCCGTTATATAGGATGGCAACACGACAATCCCAAACTTCCTTTTACATGAGGGAGCTCCCAAAAGAGCACCTCATAGGCTATGATACACCCGAGGGGAAACGCCTATTTGCCAAGGCATTAGCGGAAGGTGGATTAGAGGCTTTTTTTCCACTCTCACAACAATTTCTTACAGTATGTCCTAAGAAAACGGCATGGTTTTGGGTCGCGTCAATGGCTAATATATCTGCGGACAGCAAAACGAGCCGGCTTGTTCGCTTCAGCCCCCTGTCCTATCTCTAGAGTTAAATGAGGACTAACTAATCACCACGCGGACACCAATTAGACTGTGGAATTGGAACTCTATGCATGATTCTCAACGCTCTGAAGGTTGACCCAACCGTTACCTGGAGAAAGCCATGGAGATGGTTCACCCAAGGTAGATATACTAGATTTTTTCCTTCTTTTTATTTATAAATGACATTGTTTCTTTGGGCACCCCCTACTTACACAGAGAAACGAATATAGAGATGCTTGACTGCTGTCAACCCTTGGAAGTCGTTAAAGAGAAAGGAATAACGCTAGCTGAATTCTCCTGCCTGGCGAAGTGCAATGGTCTCGAGGCGGTCACTCGTTTCGCGGACTCCACGTTCGTCCACTCTCCTGGCGTTGATCGAGTAAATGTAACTCGTGAATTTGGAAACAGGTCGTTCGAAGCTTTCCACCAGGCTGTGAAAGTCTGCACATTCTCTGCAGACCAGTTAATGGCGGTGTCTTACTCAAGAGCGTCTCTTGGCCAAACCGGTCTGGGTCATTTCTCGCCTGTTGGCGGGTATACTTCTGAGAATGGCGGGATGGTCTTGATATTGGACGTTGCACGTTTCAAGTAGGAAATCGACAAACCTCTAGAGAGATACGATATATATATATATACATGTTCTTTTACTAAACGGGAATTTCACAAACTTGTGTAGGTACCCGTCTTACTGGGTCCCCATCAGGATGCTTTTCGAAGCGCTGATACCAAAAGATCCTGTGACCAACCAACCGAGGTATAGTGCACCATCTTCCCCTTCTCAGTTTCTAATCGCACCAACCCGTTTTCTACAGAGGCTACTCCATGCTCCGCCGACACCACACCGACGTATTCAGTCCCAACCCCATCGGCTCCCTCCTCCGCCTAAACGCAACAAAATCCACTTGGCCACCCTTATTCAAACCCTTCTACATAGCCGCCCAATCTTCCCACACCTACACCTCCCTCCTCCAAACTCTAACCCATCTCCTCTCTGGGATCCCCACCCCCGTAACCTCCCGCTCTCCCGAAGACCCTCCAAATGCTCCCCCAACCCTCCAGTGCGGCAGCGCACCGGCCCTCCTTGCCAACATCGAGAACAAACTCATCTACGAGCGCCACATAGACTCCTTCCTTGCTCACCTTGAAGCTAAGAGCTCTATGTATGCTGGGTTGGACGGGGAATTTACTCGGATGGAGAAGACCGTGTTTCTGCTGAGCTTGTTTGGCATGCAGGCCTTCTTGGGAGTGCTTGCGCCCCCGGTTAAAAAGGCGGTGCTTGAGGCGGCCGGGAAGGATCTGGAGGACGAGTGGGTTCGTAGGGAGGTTATGGCCGTTAGGAGGCAAATGGAGAGTGTCGAGAAGTGCTGTTGGGAGGAGAAGGAGTGTTCTTGTGCTGCTGCTGCTGCTGGGGCTGTTGCTCCAAGGTAATGGTGAATATGGAATGACGCCCCAGGTGTGGGAGGTTATATTGGGGGCGGGAGACGGTTGGCTTGCTGTGCTCAGGTACTACTGCGGTGTTAATCCGGGGTTGAAATCTCCGCTTTAGACACCTTTTTCACGGTTATTATCATTATTCACGTAGCTTGAATGGCAGCACTATTCGCTAATAGAGTTATGTGGTAAAAATCACGGTAACAAAAGATAAGGCTCCCGGAATTGATGTGCTGAACCTCGAAAAATGGCGGACCCTACGAATAATCCTAGATGAAATCACCCGGTTTAGCCGGGGGAAAAAATATTCACACATGCACACCTCAATCTTCTGTTCGCAAGTTCCCTTGGGTTCTTTGGTTTCGAGGACGCTCGACTACCGTTTCCACGGCTTGGTTATTCGCACGTGAGCAAGGCCACAAGCGAGTGACCTTCTATGTAGCGTGCTTGTACCAAGGAAGGTTCACTGCAAAGAGTGTACTCACGCAGCCGGGCAGACCTCCGTACAGATGGATGGGGCACACTATCTGGGCTGTCGAGCACTGAAAACCACTTCTCCGGCTGGAGAGGTCTACTCGAGTACCGGTAGTCTACCTTCCGGGGTTCAGCAAACCACTCAAATTTTTTCACCTCAAGTTAAATATGATACTAAAATCACAAGCCTGGGGCCACAAGGGAAACTTCAAAAGGAAAAAAAGAAAATCCGTCTGTTCCCACGATCCTTCCGATGATGGAAGGGAGAGGGAGAGGGAGGAACCACCTCCTCGTATACACCACCCACCACGAACCGGGTAAGTTACCGTATCATAGCAAACAAGCAGCCAAGCCAGTACATATGACGCATCCTCAAGCTTTCTTTGTATCATATGCCACACAATTCCTCATATCGCAGCTGGGGGAAGCTCCCTCACAAACTATCATTCGCATCATATGAAAATCAACTATCTGTTGAAAAACATAATATTATGATACTAAGTTAAGCTAGCACTTTACTTGTGCTGGTATATCTTGCGTGGTATCATAACAGGATAATGTTTTTGATTGAAACATTGACGGAAATTTTTTCGCGGAATTTTTCGCTAATAGCGATGAACCGGAATTACACACTATTAGAAGAAAAATTGTCCAGTGTCCCACCCCGAGCCATGTCTCTCTCTCCAAGTTTAATTGTACAATATTAGCTCATATACATTCCTCTAATTTCTCAGCACCTCCTTATATGCTGGAAATGTCGAAAGTACAGCTTTCCCTTCAACTAGACTCCTTTCGACATTGGCCCTGCCATTTACAAAGTCAGGATAGTTCAGAGTGAGTTCGGTAGCTATTTAATGCCCCGTTAGTCGGTATCTTGGAAAACCGATATTATTGTGTCTGTTACCTCCGTGTAGGATATTGTCAACAGCCTCTACTCCAAGCATGAAGGAATGGTCTTGATTCCCCACTTCATACTTCCAGCTACCAAATCTGCCTCTCGAATATATTCCTTTAGCTTGCAACCTAGGAAGCAGTTGCTTCAATAAATCATCCCGCTCAAGGGTCGGAGTTGGATATCCTTATCAATTCCAGCGTTAGCAAGCTGAGTTTGGGCTCTGCGGGGGAGATTAACCATGATCGAATCGCCTGTGATAGGTGGAAACTATCTCAGCGTCTGCTCTAATGAGATTAGTGTTGATGCAGCCTTTGATTGTATCGTCAATGATTCTCCTCTTATTTATGGGCTTCATGGAAGATTCCGATATTTCTAGCGAGAGTTAGTGACAGGGCAGTCGAAATCCGGGGACCACTGTATTCACCCATCATCAAAGACCAATAAGGGCCCTCCTTTGGTTCGCAGCTACCCGGCTCCGTTCCATCAGCGCTTCGAATTGTAGGAAGCCTAACATTGGCCTGAGGCTGGTTGTTGGGAGAATAGTTACTAAAGATGGTTGCACGGTAGAAGGGGCAATCATCTTCAGGAAAGTAAAGCTGAATGAGAGTTTGTCAGAACGCATGAGCGCAATAAAAATAGTTATGAACACAAGGCTCACCCAGCATTTATCGCCAATGTTCTCTGGCCTTACACCTCGGAGGCCAATCCCCACAACATGAGTGGAGGAGTAATAGAGGCATTTTGTCAGGCCAATCAACTCCTTGTCGTTCATCCTTTCAGCCAAAGAATCCACAGCCATTGTGCTGATGAGTCTACCGTAGCCTACGGTCTTGCCATCTTTCAAGATCACAGTCTTGGCCTCGGCATCGACCCTTTCGACTGCCCCCTTTACACCTAGTCTTAGGTTACCTTTAGGAAGCGTATCTGCAACGGCAATCCAGATTCCCCCAGTTCCACCATGGGCAGGGAAGCGAAACGTCGCATTAGGTCCCCAATTTCCCGCTGTCTTCTGTAGAATAATATTTTTCGTGACAGTTTTAAGGTCAGGTGCTGCTACCCGCTCACCAAGCCACCCACATTGCATCTCCACATCGAATTAGTCAAATCCACGGATACCACATCCATGAGAAACGCTAGGTGTTTACCTTGGTGGTTGGAACGGCCCAAACTTTAAAGTTATATGGGCGCATGAAAAGGTCAGCAATCCCCTCGCCTAATAAGATTATAAATTATAAATTAGCAAACTCAGAAGAATTGCCTATTGGAACAAAGGAAAAAATATAACTTGCCCATCATTCTTACAATCCACTCATCGAAATTCTGGGGTTTCTTGTTTGATACTCTTGCCTCTAGAGCCGCATCAATCATCCCATTCATGCAATTAACTTGGTCACCCTTTGGTAACATGCTTATGTTATTCTGAAAGGGATATGGGACTTGGCTAGGTTAGCAAAATTTTAAGTAGTTAGAACGAATATCCCACCCCAAAGGTTCTTGCAGCGAACATAGGAAATCCGCTGGTGAGTATGCCAGTCGTTCTCTCGGGGAAGAGCTTCGCCAATACAGTCATCAAAGTATTTGTAGTGGGAGAATATGACGTGGCCACCAACATCGTAGAGCTAAGAAGCTGATATTAATAGCAGCACTCCCCGGGAAGGCGGGTTGAAGACTCACAAAGCCTTCCCTTGTGATATCGGTGGAAGCAAGGCCTCCGGGAGTCTCACTAGAATCAAGCAAAAGCCACGAAGCTTCGTTCTAATTCCAACACATTTTTTAAAGACTGTGGTTTAGAGATAAAATATTGAGGAATCTCTTTTACCAGCTGGTTTAACCTCTTTGCAGCACCAAGCCCAGTTGGGCCAGCTCCAATAACAAGCACATCTACGTATCTGCAACAAAGAAATTCTGTCAGCCGAAATGGGCCTTCTCAGTCTATTCTGATAACTGCCTACTCACGTATCTGGATAAGTCATACTTGAACAGTATTTACCAGTAATGGTCAAGACCAGGATTAGAGGAAGATTAGAAGAGCTAGGATGGTGAGAGCGATTGAAAAAAAAAAAAAATCTGGCGAAAGGAGCACTTGAAGGCAGTATTGCTACTCCTTTATGGAGGGAGCGGTGGGGAGACAAACAGGGGGAAGGGAGAGTAGGAGGTTTAAATCATGACGACAGAGAAGGAAGGGTTGAATGAAATACCAGTAGCGTATGTTACCGGTAAGTCTTACGGGACGCTAACAAATTTTAAATGGGGCTGGGACATTCCTAGGTCTTAGACTATCATACCGATACCGGTAGGGACTACCTAGGTTACCAAGTAAGACCCTCCAAACCAGCCAAAGCGGAATAACCTTCTAGGAAAAAATCGCGATGGCGAAACCAAACCGGAGATCCTTCGGTGCAGAGTAAGCTTGCTCCTCTGTGCGGTGATGGTCTGTCCGATGATAATTCCCCGAGCTCTGTCATGTATGCGTATGCGCCAATAAGCCGGTTCAGTACTCAAATAGTATGGTATAGTAAAGGTTCCCTCCCAGGATAAAGTGCATGATATTCGGATGCTGTATGATAATACTTAACCTGTACGAGTACTCTTAGAAATATCTTATTTCTCGAAAAGAGGAACTGTACAGTACAGCACTCCTATAGTACTTTGCGCGGCTCACTTAGGCAGCCTGCGCTTAGATACCAGAACTTTACACCCGTATGAGTACAGTACCTACTGTAAACACGTCGAACCGGTTCAAGAGTCCTTTGGGGAAAACAAAAGAAAAAGGAATTCTGGATCCCAGGGCCAGTGACAAGGTGCTCGTGTTTATTTAAGCCTCAGGGTCATATGCTTTACCGCAATTTACAGTAGCCCGCTTCCCATTTTCCGATATTCCAGCCGTGTCGATCTTATTGAGACCAGGCCTCTGGAAACTTTCATTTGTTAAGTGCGTGCACAACTCGAGAACCATTCCAGGGAAGCCAAGGGAGGTCCAGGGAGTTCCCATATTCCCGAATAGCCACCGCCCACGACCAGGGTTATTCCCGGTACATTATGTTTCGGACAGAGCCTAGAATCGGTGCTATAAGTGACAAAGGTTCACCGGCTCTCAAGGTATTTTTTATTTCTTGGTGCCAAGGGAGAGGGTTACGAATCTCCGTACTGTACAGATCCCTTCAGCAGCATTAGCATAATATTATAACACAGTATCCGTATGCATTAGTAGGGTGATAAAGCCCCCCCAATGCCTTGCATTCTCACCTTCTGCACCGGTAAGGAAAGATACTGTATAAACCCGGTGGAAGGGGCAGTATGCAGTGTGCCGGAGCTCAAGTATGATACAAGGTAGAATGACATGCCGCTCGCCAACCGACACCCCCTAGGCCTAAAGAACGCTGGATCGATTGAGCATTATTACAGCCAGAACTCGAAGTTACAAAAGTCCCACAAGCACAGTAAGGGTGCAAAGCGTTTCCGAACCTGCCATGTGCCGTACATTAATCGTGGCAGGAAAGGAGTGTGGTGCCGTAGGACTTCTTGATCTGGCGTTCTTTGGGGAGAATCGGCAGGTGAGATGTGGACGAAGATTGGATCACGTAGAAAGTAGAACAACTAATGTCGTGGAAAGAAGGAGGCATATGGGGGGGACCACCGCCCTTCCCGATAACTCTTGTCTCCCGTCCTCCTCTCAGTGGTGGGCCCAAGAGCCCATTTTTACAAAATGTATTCTATAGAATTACGAAGTTGCACGTACGCCACCCCGAGTTGATTCACGTCCTTCTCACTACCCGAAAACCAGGTTATGATATTGTATGGGAGCCCAGATACGCCCCGGCATTTTGCAACATATTTTGCCAGCCTCTGCTCCCTTGGCACTCTTCGCTGTTACGGGCGAAGTAGTGTCGAGTGCATGGATGGGCTCGTGGCGGAGGACGGATAACTACAGAAATATTGTCACATTGTCTATCGGTATTAAATCTGTTGATGCTTCGTGGCAGATTGATTGTATAAGGGGGAGGCTCCGGGACACGCGGTTGGAAGGAGAGAGTGGGAAGAGAGCTGTCGGGAAGAGAGCAATCCCCATACGTTTCTTTATTTCCTCAAATTTGATTGTTCATCGTGATAATGAATCCCCCCCCCCCCGGATCCACTCCGGGCGTGCCAAATCCCCCCCAAAGAACACCAGGCCTGGGAGATGTCCCACAGTAGCACGCTAGCATCTCGTCGGTGCGGACTTGGTCCCATCATATCCCGCACCCGCAAGATACGGGCAATTAAGTAAAAAAACCTAATTAAGCCAACTCAATTAGCCGTCACACGAGGCTGCCCCTCCATTTACGGTGGGGCTGCTCTGTAAGTATTAGAGTAGAGAGGTCAGAGTTTCCTCCTCGCTACAGCCAGTTACGAAGAAGCACCGAATCACGAGATCTATTTTTTTGAGATGTACAGGGGGTTAAGGGGAAGTGAGGCGAATGGGGGTGCAATTGGGTTACTACCTTAGCTACCTAGAACTCATTAGCATGATGTACAATAATACAGACCTATCAGGATATGACAAATTTTGCCATCAAAATCCATCACCATGTCTATCACAACAACAATGGCGTCAAGGAAGTTATCAGCATTAAGAGAGCACTTCATATTCTTATTTTTTATCCAAACCTCAGCTACAGCATGAAAATTAAACACTACCAGGAAGATTATGCCCCTGCAGGTGATCAAAAACAACAGGAAATGACTCTGGATCAGAGGCAACAGGTGATAACACTCCAGAACATGGCAGGAATGAGTTGGAAGGTAAGTTTTATCTTGAAAGAGGTTTAAGTATCAGATTTTTTGATTGTAAGAAAACAATAGAAAATAGCAGAAAGAGTCAATATTCACTACTGAGCTTGTGTTAGGCGGAGACAATTCGATAGACTTCAAGGTTGTCTAGGCCAATCGAGATTCATTTCTGTAGACGGAGATTGTCTTGGAAGGCTCGGACTTTACTCGTTTTGTTTATGACTACTAGGAGCAAAGTAAATTAGGTAAAGTAGAGTAGAATTGTAAAAACAATATTATATTGTTAAGGTCTCTTCTCCATTGCTTGATGATATCTAAAGCTTGGGAGGCACTTCGATATTTATATTCTGGGTCTGAGTGTTCATGGACTACATCTATTTATTATACAACTATGTACTTCTTCAATCGTAATTCGCAACGCCGAGTTTTCTTCCAAGGTGCGAACACCTGTGGACCCTGAAAACCATTACACCCTCTTCGGTAATTACGATATTTCTTCTTAGGAAATGTACTGTCCCCAATAGTAATATCCTGATTAGCCGGGTCATTAGACTTATGTCCTAGTTCTTAAGTCGAACTGAGTTGGCTCCAATTGTCTTCGCCATTGATAAAATGATCAGTTTTATCCGCGGCTATATCTGCAAAGGTAGTCGTCATTACAACCATCGTAGGTCGTCTAACTCCGATCCTTTATAACTCCATACACAACCGATAGATTTTCTCTGGAAGACTTCCTATTAACTCACAGGAAGCTATTCCACTGGATTGGTAATTAATACCTCGGTCGGCAACTCTTGGTTGCTCTCTGGGTAGTAGGTTTCAGTAACCATTGTAGTATTAAGAATCACCCCATAGTTACGACATGTTCCGAAACCCAGTTGCAACACTCCGTGAAGTTCATTGGCTTCTTTGGTAGTGTCCTTTGGAGTTCTAGACTCTTCTGGTGGATGTAAATGTATTGGTCTCTAGTAGAGATCCTTTACCATTTGATACCATCTCTTTTTACAAAATCGTCCCGTTACTTACAGCCCATGCCCAAGGTGTTATGTCTTTGAAGCCTAGTAAGTCTCTGAGTAGTTGACGGAATCACTCTGTTCTACTTCTCAGACCTAGCCGAAGGTCCCCTCTCATATACCCTGTGAACAGGATCCGGTCGGACTGATAGTGATGACATATATGGTGTTATTCTAACACCTTCAATTCTGTAATAATATAGTCACAGGACGCAACTGTGATTGATATATATGATGACGTGCAGGCCCCGTAAGGGAGTCGGAGGGGGGTGTTGGAGACCAGAGATTCCGATTCCGAGTGGGGTTACCCTACTTAGGGTGGTTCCTAGGTATTGGGTTCTGGTATTCCTAATAGCTTGTCAGGAAATATACTAGCGAGCTATGATAAATGGATCTTCATCAAACGAACTCCGAACTGGCCGGCTAGTTTTCTTTAATGATGAGGAAAAGGAAAGGCTTGTTGCTTTTATCATGCAAGATCAAAGGACCTATTGGCTCTAGTGGGAAGAAATCATTACTGAAATGCACTATGATTGTTCGGTCTGGACACTTTGTAATACCTCAGCCTCTTTAGGTTATCATAAAAGAGTACCAGGTAAGAAGTAAGCATAACTGACAGCTCATATCTCTTTTTCTTTCCTTTTTCAAAATCATATCATTTCTAATTATATATTTATCCTTACAGATATAGTATTTGAGAGAAAAATAAACTCCTGTGGGTTCAGTGGTATAATAAATACCTGAATTGGACAAGGAAAGAATAGATGCATGTGGTTTAGATGGATGAATCAGGTTTATTGACATCTGGATTCAGTTATCGGCCATGGGTTCTATACAAAGCTGGTGAGGATTTTCGCGCTGACTGTATTGATTGAGTCTGGAAGTCTGGCTGCAAGTCTGTAATAGTCTGAGGTGTTTTATGGAATATATAAGTCTCAACTTTATACTGTTCTGGAAGGTACTACAATAAGTTCTAAAAAATACTCCAACAATATTCTCCTTTATCTTCTGCTACCATTTTGGATCTGAGTTTGTAAGAAATATAGGTGGACTGTAATTGTGGAAGATAATGCACTCAGATATAAGAGATATGCAAATGCTATATGAGATGATTGGGGGATGGACTGTATTTGTTGGCCTCCGCAGTCCCCGGATCTCAACCTTATTGATGCTGTATATAGTGATATTGA